GGAAATTTATCTTTAACAGTTTGCGAATTCAACTTTCTATAATCTATCACTAATCGTAATTCACCTGTTTTTTTCTTTACGAGTAAAACTGGACTAGCATACGGAGATCTTGTTTCAGTAACAATTCCATATTTCTTCCATTCATTTATTATCTTCTTTATAGAAGCACGCTCTTCGGCATTGGTTTTATACGACTTCATGCAAATAGGCTTACTCCCTTCAATTTCTTTAATATCCATTTTTGTTAAGTTTGTACACCCTAATTCCCTCCATATTTAATGCAAAACAATCTCGATACTCATTTATCAAATGTAAAACTTCCTGTTTTTCTTTCTCTCTGGCGTAATATTGTTATTAACTTTAATTTCTTCTAAAGTAATCGGTCTCCTAAACTTCTTAATTTCATTTATTATCAGTATTTCCTTTTGACTTGAATTTTCAGTTTTCTGATCTGAACTTGGTTCAACTAATTCTGCTATTTCCGCTCTACCGATACATTGATTCTCTTTCAAAATTAGTTTTCGATCGCTGTAGTTAGTGACTGGTATCACTGTTTCTCCCTGTATTACTTCCAATAATGAGCCTAACTCATCTTCCGATCGACTTTATTAAACATAACCGTTATTTATTTCATCAGTTTTAACTTTCACGAAATTAACCGTATTACTTTCGATTTGAGTTTCTTGGGAAGCCTTCAGTTTAATTCGCGGAGTGTTGCTATCATTTTGCAACTGTGAAAATGGGCAGTCATTAGCATAGCGTACGTGCAAGGTATTTCCTATCTTGGCGTATGCAATATGCGGTAAATCAATCCATGTTCGACCAACTAATAAGTCCCATGGTTGTGTTTCATCTCCTACAATTAGAACTGTAATGTTCTTTCCTTCCACATTATCAATCTCTAAGTTAACAGTTACTTTTCCCAATGTTCTAGCAGCTGGTTTATTCTGGTTCCCAAAGCCAAACAATTCCTCCACATCAGGTTTTACAATAAGATTCAGTCTCTTAGCCGCAGACTGTTTTCAATAAACACGAACTAGAACCTGTATCTATGATTGCAGTAATTTTCTTCTCCATTATTGATGCGAGCATACTTTAAATATACAGCTGGTGAAACACCTGAATTCTGGTCCACGGATAAATTATTTTTAACATTTGTCAAGTCTGGATTCTTAGACGTACACCTTTTAAAAAAGTATGACCCTTTTCATTACATTTCCTGCAAATAAATTCTTTTTTAGGCTGAGGACAATCCGTCGCTATAATGTCCATAATCATTACAATTGAAGCATTTCGGCTCACCCTTTTCATTGCGGATGCCAGAATTATATTCCCTTTTCCTTTCGTCTGTTTTATAAAATTTATCTCTCAGATTGTATTTATTATGAAAACTGTTTTCAAAACCCAATTTGAAATTACCGTCTGTCTGCATGGAATCGTTAACATTTCTTTGTCTTGAATACTGATTATAGGATCCTTCATAAAATTTAGAACCAGATTTGGGCTTTGAATTATGCCTAAAAGTTTTATTTTCTACTTACTTATTACTACTACTTTCTACTTAATATTCGGGCAGGGATAAAAGTACACGGTACTTTTATCTCTGCCCAAATATTTTCATATTCATCTAGTTTTACAGCCAACTTTTCAGGATTAATGAATTTAGACCAATCATCAATGAAATGATCTCGGATAGCAGCGGGGACCCTTTTCTTTAATTGATCGGTAATAAAAAGTTGTTTTAAAGAGTCAAAATCTGTTACATTTAATCCAACAAGCCACTCTTCAAAATAATTTTTTAATTCAAACATGAAGTCCTTCCACGTATTAACACAATGTTTTAATATGATCAACAAACTTTTGCCGAAACTGTTCAGGGCTTAACTTAAATTTTCTCAGTAGCAGTTGCTTAACGTGCTTATAGTCGTTAGCTTTTTCTTCTGATTCACGGGCAATTAATTGAGTTATTTCATAAGGCAATAGACCCAACAGCTGAGAAACCCAGTTTTGTTCTTCTTCTAAACCCAATACGTCGTGCCTGTCTCTCAAATAAAACTAGATAAAAACTTATATCACCTTCTTTCAAATCATACTTATGCATTAATTTACTCATATCACAAATATTACTTGTACTAACATTAGAAGGAACAGAATCATTTACATTACTACTTCTGATTTCCGCTTCTATTTTCAATTTTTCAAGTTCAAATGCTCTTTGCTTATCTTTTTCTTTTTCTAAAATTTCTAACTTTTCCCTGTCTAAACGATCATTTTATATTCTATCTAGCATTTGTTTAGTAAAGTCTTTGTTATAATTCTTACTATTCAAAATCATATCTCTTAAGCCTACAATTTTAATATCAGAAGGGACATCTACATCAAGTTCCAAAGCAAGTTCTTTTAAATCACATTTTTTGGCCTCTTGCCAAATAAGCCATCTTAGACTTCAATTTTCAAATACTAATACAATAATTATACTTAAGTTCTTTCCGTTTAATACTTAGACATAACATAAACAGTTTATAAATTCACGTACCTTTCTACTTTCAGTTTTGGCGAGCTTCCACATTCAGTTTAGGCTTAGCGTACGTTAAGGCAATACGTTGTTAAATCTAGATAATAATTCTAGTTTATCCCACTTCTGAAATGTTAGCGTTTAATTAGTTCCTTTATTAAAAACACATTCCGCCAAGACATTAATTGTTAAATACTTGCTTGAAACATTACAGTCAACATTACTGCTCAAAAAACATTACCGTTCAAATTATTATCGTTCTGAAAAAAACTGTTGTTGCCAATCGGGAAAATACATTTTAAATAAAAATTAATACGTTGCATTTACATTATATAATAATACCATGGGAGGTATTGATAGAATGGATCAGCATCTCACCAATTATCCAGTCACAAAGAAGAGACGAAAAAAATATTACAAAAAAATATTCTTCCACCTTTTAGATGTATCGCTGTGAAATGCATTCGTTTTATACCAGAAGCATGGAGGTAAATACTTGCATTTGAATTTCAGATTTGATATAATTGATCGCCTGATTGAAAGACACAGGACTGTAAATGTAAAAAAAAGGACAACCAGGAATTTTGCCCAATCCCTTACGATTGACTGAAAGGCACTTTTTAGAAGTGATTGCTCCCAGCAACAAAAAACTGAGACCAACGAGGCAGTGCTTTGTGTGCTGCTCTAAAAGAAACGATTTCGGAAAAAGAGTGAGAAAAGAAACTAGATATTTTTGTTCTGACTGCGATGTTGGACTATGCTTGTCACCGTGTTTTAAAATTTTTCATTCAAAAACTAAATTTTAAAAGATATTAGATGTAAGTATAATAATAAATTCTCTTTTCTAATATCCATTTCTGTAAAGTATTTTCCCAGATCGCTTATTTCACCGGAAAAAGCCAATTTTAAGTAAAAATGTCATTTTTCGTTGTAAATAAAAATTATCATAACTTCATAAATTCAACACATAATAGTTTTGACTCTTAATTTGAGTTTCTATAATCGATTTTAAAATAAAATTGTTTTTGAAAAAATATGCTTATTTTTTGACACAATATATCAGAAAAAAGAGACTGTTAAGTGGTTAAGGGTGGAGCAACAGCCCTTGTGCTTTTTCTACTCAAACTTAATAAGGTAAAATCCTTGTGGTAAAATGACGAATATAGCTTGTCATCAGGTTTTCATGCCAGAACATGTAATGATGAAACAACTTTCATCATATAACTAAAGTTATTGTTGAATATGATAATAATAGGAGGGTTACCATATTCCTGGGAAGGGAACTTTCTGGATGAGGAATTACATAAAAATAATATAGATCAATGAAAACTATGTACAATTTCTCTTATTTCTTTTACTGAACTAGAGCATTTTGATGCAATTTCTCATTCTGAAACTTTTTCAAGGAATATGGTAATCCACTATTGTTACAATATTTAACAGTAACTTTAGTCACAGGAGTGTAGCTTGTGATTATGTGGTATGGCGTGAAATGATGAGTTATACTTGTCACATGATTAAAGTTACTGTTGACTGTAGGAGGTTACCACAATAGTAATAATAGGGAGGTTACCACAATTCCTTGAATCAAAACTAGCACCCTAGCTAGGTTGAAGGCCAAAAATACATTCCTGCATCTCAGAAGAAAAGAAGACTATTAGAAGATGCTACATATGCTATAAGATTAAAATTAGATGCATGACATAGTATAAACAATGAGGACTTTGCACTTGCCAGAATGTTTCCAAAAGTACCACTTGCTTTATCTTATTTTAAGATATTATTACTTTGCAGTTTTTTAATTTTTGTCATTTTTATTTTGTGCAAATTTTTAATTTTTAAATCATACGAGAAAGTGGTAGTTATTAATCACATAATTATTCAGGTTACCATGATAGCATTTTAGGTTGAGAAAATATAATACAATGATATCATTTTAGGTTGACAAAATATAATGGAGCATTTCTTACATTATAAGGATTTCAAATTCAAGATATATATTAGTATTGATCAAGGTACAATAGCACAAAACTAAAAACATACTTATTAGTAAAAGTTTTACATTTACTTACCAATTGAAAAAAAAAAAAAATAAATAAATAAATAAAAAATAAAAAGGGGGGGGGAAATCTTTAAAAAAAAAATTCTTTTAAAGTGACATTGAAATACTTTACTTCCTGAGCACATAACAGAAATGCATTCTGCATGTATTTAATGGCAGTGTAATTTAATGTTGGGCTACATTAATAAATTTATTATGTGTGAACTAAGATGATCACCTCCAAAGAATAAAATCATATGAAACTGTGGGTGCTTAGCTTAAAAGTTCATTGCAATATGCTATCTGACTGGAAAGAGCAAACATTTTGTAATTTTCATTATAGTGTGAGTAAAAACATCAAAGAAAATACACGTTTGGTTACACTTTAATTATAGTGTCATTCTGCAGCAAAATGTTTGTGTTTATAGTGCTTTAAATTTCTAAAAATTTCTTTTTTCATGTTTTTAGTGCATTCTTTGCTGTATTATACTGGTAGCTCTTAAGGGAATGTTTCTTCAAGTTAAAGATTTTAAGAAAGCATGGGGTATATCTAAACTAGATGCAGTAAGTATTTTGCATTGCTTTTCATTTGCAATATTTGTTTTTCCTAGAGTTATTACAGTAAATTTTTTTTTCTTTTCTTATTTAGCTTATATGGCTCATTACATTTTTATCAACAGTTTTATTAGATGTTACATATGGATTATTAGTTGGAGTCATTTTTGCAGTTTTATCTGTGATAGCAAGAACTATGATGTAAGTAGGATAACTTATTCTGTTAGGTAGTTAATAATGTTCCACCTTTTAAAAAGTAGAGAAAATTGTTGTATTTATACAGATTAAAATAATTTTCTATCAAAGCTTCTGACTAGGGGGTAGGAATTTGACTTCTTTTTTTCTTGTATGTGTGTTATGCCCCATTCTATCCCACCCATGTTCATTTATTTCATGTTTGAAATGATGAAATTAATAGAGCAGTTCATTATTGCATTTAGCTTAAAAGAATAATCAGTTAATCTTGCTCTTGGTAGAAAAAACACTTAAGTTTTTCCTTAAAAGTATTATAAGGTAAGCTTTTGTTTAATTTTAAAATTATGAGTTATCGCATACACAGATTGTCTAACACAATAGTTCTTAGCCTTTATTATTCCATGCACCCCTTTCACCATTGCTAGGCAATCATTCCTCCCTTTCTGCTTTCCAAAAACTCAAAAAGTACATGTATGTCTATTTAGATTATTTTTTAATGTGTTTCATGAATTAAATAAGAAAAAGCATAGAAAACATTGATGAATACCAAAACTTGAATAAAAGTAGTCCTTTATGAATATAAACTAAAATTAAATGCTTAAAATCTAAATAGAAGGCTGACTTCATCCCCCCAGTCTAACATATATGTAGAGAGATGGATTTTAAAAAATATTAGCTGAAAGTAAAAAAAAGGGTGGTTCAAAGTTGTTGTTGGCTTGCATGACTTTTAATTTGAATTAAAACAAAACCTGTTTTATAGGTAGCATTTTCATGGACAGACAAAAAATACACTTTTTTATGAAAAAGTAATATCCTGACCTTATGTTTGATAACATATGGAAAATGTAAAACAAATTTCTAGATATATGTAATATTGAATGCTGAGTTCAGAAATCAGGTTTTATAAATAAAAGATGAACTGTGTGTATGGTATGTGGAAGAAAAAAATAGTCATGTCCAAATATATGCTGTAATATTCTAAGTTATAACTTTTTAGATTCTTTGCATGCGATTTTGAAATATTGCACTTGCTTTATTTGTTTAAATATGAAGTTATTAATTTTCCTATTCTTAGACCTTCAACTACTTTTCTTGGAAGGATACCTGATACTGATATATATTTAGATATGAAACGATATGATATGGTGAGTTATTTTGAGCTCTTAATATACATCAATGTAATAAAAACAATTTTATAAGGGATAAAATAGCTCATTGCTTTCCTTATAGGCTCATGAAATAAAGGGGATAAAAATTCTACACTTTGAGTCTGCTCTTTACTTCATCAACAGAGAGCGCTTTAAATCTTATCTAATGAAGCATGTGTCTTTGAAAGCAAAGTAAGTATTTAAAATGGTTTGTAACAAAATTTCAAAATTATTCTGTCCTCCTTCCCCCTCCTTTTGTTTCTCAAATGATTTACAGGCTTCTTTCATATTATCAGGTAAGATGGATTTTGCAAATAGGTAAGCATGAGTAAAGATAATTTGGCAATTTTGTACTTCCTTGTACGAAGCAAAAAGGAAGTATTGTAATCGCGAAAAACTTGACATCATATTTCAACGAAAATATTCATTTTGACCGCTATCGAATGCAATTTAACGATATTTTTGCATGACATCCATATGTAAGGACAGAATAAAGGGCTCTTTTACCCCCCATAAAATTATAAAACTGATTCAAAATTAATTCTGAAGAGAAATTTTCGTGCCGTCTGTGCGTATGTATGTATCTCGTATAACTCAAAAACGAGTAGCCTCAGAACATTGAAATTTTGTATACAAGATTGCTATAGCATATAAATGTACACCTCGTATTTTGGTTAAAATCAGCCACATCAAAAGTATATAAATATATGAATATATACTATATCCACTCTGTTACTCGACTCAGTAATCTCAGTTTCTTTATTCTTATATGTTTGTAAATTGGGCATTTTTTGCTTTAAAAAATGATTGAATTATGTTGTTCTTATCTTCTCGTTAAGGTTTTTATGCCTTTAGTAAATCTGCATGCAATATTTTTGGAATTATTAAAAATTTAAAAGTTCTTTAAATGCTGCTAAGCCTTTTGTAATGGCGGCAATGTTTGTTTACATTTGAAACAGCAGAATAGTAGATTTGTTGCCAATCTAGAGAAAGTAAGCATCACAAAAATAATGCCTTCTTTTATTTATTGTGAATTAAATCATGCTTAATCCATTCTGGAATTTATTAGAGGAAATAAGTGTTTAAGATTTACTTCATAATTTACAGTTTTTATGTATTTTTGCCTTGTCGCAAAGTAAAAACTTAATTAATTGAATGAAAAATACTGAATCATCTGTGAAAACCTTTTTTTTTTAAATTGTTGTTGCTGTTGTTTGCTTAATTACTTTTATACATCATTTTAGATTTATTATAGTATTTGAATAGAATATGTGGCAACGATTAGATAATTTTTAAGCTGATAAAAATTTTGTGCATTCTGAGTTAAAAAATGAATACTGTTAAGCGAATCTAGGGCCAAAGCATCACTCTGGTAAACAAATATAGTCGGGGTTCGTAGCGGTCCTTACAAGTGCTTATAAGCCCTTATATTTGAAAATAAAATATAAAGGCCCTTATAGGTGCTTACTTTTTCTTTAAAGCCCTTATTTTTTTGCTTTTAGTGCTTTTTTTTAATGAACGTGCATTTTTCCCCGTACCAAAGCCAAAACTAAAAAAACAACTTTTCTTCCTTATATGCAACGTGAGATGGTGAATCATACTCCCGGAAATTGCTTTCAGCCCTTTCTCTGCATTAACGTAACCTATGGTGTGTGCGAGAGTACAGACAGGTGCACGTCGTTCTATTGCTCAAAGAATTGCGAAAACGGTAGAAAATTCTGGTACATTCGGTATTCTTTTCCTCCCACCCAAATACTACACACGTTTGAATTTCTATCAAGATTTTAATAATTTGCATTCTCGTTCCGCGTGGTCAGTTCATATTCATGTTTATTATGCTTATATTATGAGCATATGTATGAATATTTAGTTTCAGTAACTGCTGAAGTATAGATAAACTTAAAAAATGGGTGTGTTTTTACACAGATTAGCTTTCTAAGGAATAATATTTGGAATGGCTTAAATAAAAGGAAAGTAATCGAATAGTCAAAATAATTTCTTTTTTGGGGGGAGGGCAATACATTATACAGTACGGAGGGTGGGAGGTTCTCCCTTTTCTCCGCAGAATCTCTAATATTGAAGCAGCGGACTTTTTTTTTTATTTTGTCACTGTTTTTCTGGACTTCCAATCTGGACTAAAAATTTGCGGTCTACCCAACTCAAGCGAAGATTGATTCTATTCTGGAAATTTAACGCAGTCTGTTGAAAATTAGAATCAAAAACACCCCAGATTAGTAAGTCTCTTTCTTTTCCTTTTAGTTCTTTATTCTCCGAATACCAGCAGCTGTCGATTCCGACTGCGTAATGGAAGACTTACCCTGCACGTATTGCGCAATAACGTTTACGGTATTTTGCAGAGATAATTAATTTTGATGTTCAGTCTGAGATTTGTTTATGAACTCTTAAAAGAGTTTTTACTGTGCTTTCTAAGCAGAATATTTCTTAGTTACGTAGATCTATTTTTATATGATGCACATGTCGAAATGTCAGAATCGTTTATTTAGCCGAGAAATCTAAAGAACGGCTACGATCTCTCCCACTCCTCTTTTTCCAGTTACTATCTGGAATATTCTGCAATTTCCGAGTATGCGGGTTAGTTAAGCTTTTACTGTTAAAGGATGAGTGCATGAAGCAATTTCCCGTCTTCTGATTTCAGAAATGTGCCTCTTTTTTACTTAAATTACTTGGATATATGGTATATATGGTAAGGGAAAACTGTTATGCAATGAAAATTTAGAAAATGTTCAGAATTTTGATTTAAGTTAAATTATTTAAATATTAATATGAGTGGAAAAATAAATTGTATTTATTATTATTATTATATATTAATATGGCTTATTATTTTCTATATTTTGAACTGAAATTTCATCATTAAATCTTGTAATATAGTTTAGTTCTGCATAGGTTTTTTTTTTTTTTTTTTTCCCTCTCTCATTGTAAACTAATTCTGTAAATTGAACTGTCATTTGAAATTAAAAAAAAATAAAGTTAATTGTTTTCCATGGTTGAGGTAATGCTCATTCTCTTAATAAATATTGCGTTGCTCATATTTTAAATTACAAGTCTAATTTTTCTTTTAAGGTTATGCAGTTGTGTATAATGTAATTAGACAGGTGCTTATTTTTTCCTTAAAATGTGCTTAAAAAGTGCTTATATGTGCCTTTTTTTTTAACTAAAATGTGGCTACGAACCCTGTATAGTGAATTTTAAAGAGTGCATTTATTTTATTGTGGTTTAGGCGCTAATGACAAAATAAATTTAATTCAATCCAATAAGCTTAAATGAAATGCAAGAAAAAATGCATATAATTTAATATTCCATACAAGGAAGTCATGTGGTGTATACATCAGATTTATTTATTTATTTTTTTTTAGAGAGAGGAAGAAAATATGACCTTGAATTTTAGAAACATTATTTTATGCAAGTTACAGCAGAAACTTTTCTATTAAAGCCATAACTATGACTTAACACTTTTTTGTCCTGTTTTATTTCCTTTGGTACTAGATGTCAGCACTTTGTATTGGCCTCTTTCTTGGTGAAAACTGCCTTTAGAACCATGGCTTGTGAAACCATTCTTTTTCATCCACCCTAATTAACACCAGAGGTACTATTAGTCTCGATCCACACTTTTTATCCATATCACTTCTCAAATAAAAGGATGTTGGCACGAAGTGTTATTGCCATGTATTATTTTTAAATAAATAATATAGCAAACATAAAAATCGCATGGTGACATTTAACATCATTGGGAATCTTGAAGGTATCCTGCTTTGAAATATTTTGTGATTTTGCTGTTGAATTTTATGTGACATAAGTGCAAAGCAAGTGCTGTTTAATGAATAAAGTTAAAAAGGCCGTGTATGCCATCTTAACTAAGAAAACTGAATATTGATATTAACTGAGAAAAAGACTAAAAAATTAATTGCAGCACTTAAAACTCTTTTGAGAATTTTAAACCTATGCTGCTTTTAAAAGTTTTGTGATTTTACTGCTAAATTTTATGCTGGGCAAGAGTAAAGAAAGTGATATATAATAATAAAGTTAAAAGGACAAAAAAAGTTGTGTCAGCAAGAGTGAGTCCAAGAGCAACAAACCCTCTGGTGTGACAATAAAATTTGAATCCTTTCAGATTCTAAGAAAAACACATAAATGTTTTTTTCTCAGAATTTTAGTTAAACAGGCAAAATTCCCATTTCCAAACGTGCTCTTCATCAAATGCAATTTTACTTCCTTAGTGTATCTCATGTAAAAACAGAACCGCTTCTGATCACTTCCATTCTCAAACCCATTACATGTTTATATTTACAATGCCCTAATGTTTCAATTCAAATTACAATAGCCCCTTGCCGTTACCATTTTCTGAAATGCATATAGGTTCAAAGCATTCAAAGACAGCACATCTGCCTATTTTTCTTGCCTCAGGAAAATTCCTACATTGTTATTACCTTATGAGACAGCAACAGTGTACAAGTTTCTATAAAAAATGCAAAATAGTCAGAGGGTTATGAATGTAGTCTTTTATTATTATTATTATTATTATATTTATTTATTTTAAATAAAATACAACTGTAGTTATAAGAACCTTAATCTGTGTTAAAATATAAATAATTACCACAAAAACTTGGTTTATGCTATTTATCATTTCGTATCTAAAAGCCAGTAGCATAAAAAATGCATATATGTAAGAAAATGATTTTTTTTATAAAACATGCAGTTTTTCTCGATATGCTTCAGTAAAATATTATGTGTGAAAGCCTTCTTAAATTCTAAAAATGCATAATATTAATTAAAAACTAATTAAACAAAATGCATGATTTAAAAAAAAAAAAAGTTAAGTTCCTTGGTTTTTGACTTCATATGAAATTCTTATATATGCAGAATTTCTGAAATACAGTGTTTAGAATAAGGAAGTTATTTAAATACCTGGAGAAGCTTTTAATTTAAGGATCTGGGTAGTGATTCGCAGGGTTGCCACTCTACCTGGAAAACCGGAAAAGGTCAGGGAATTCGAAAATTGATCAAAAAAGTCAGGGAATTTCATACGGTGATCTCTCCATAAAAGTAAGTTTTGTGTCAACGCTGGAAGCGATCACTTTCTTGGGGAATTTTGTATTGCGTGAGCATCATTCGGGCAGCTGGCGTAGAGCCAATTTTCGCAGCTCCAATCAAATTGTCTTTAAGAAGGCAAAGCATGTTTCCAGTAGCCTCGAGAATCAAGAGACTTGCATGTGCAGTGTATGTTGAACTAAAGGAAATACTTTCCATTCTCGTATAAAACCATAGATGTAATGTATATGCCAAGGTTCTTTAATACATTCATGTAAATGCTATTACACCGCTAGAAAGCAGAGGGAAAAATTTGGCAAGGGGTATTTGGCAATAGAATCTGGCGATGAGAATTTCCCTCTCCATGATATGTACACAAAATTGAGGAAGACGTTAAGAAGAAAACTTTTCTTTGACTTTTCACAATAATTTAAACATGGATTTTTGTACTTTTTTATGCTCAAACTAATCCAAGAGTGAATTACTTGCGCAAAATAATATGTTCTTTTCCTTAGACGTGACTTTCGACACCGGCTTTGAGGACAGATATTTCGGGCATGCGCAGCTGTTCCGTCAAGTTGAGACGGAGGCACTCCTGTTGTGGAGAAGTTTTCCTCCTTAATAATGTATATTCTTTGTATAAAACAAAATCGGTTTAATCCTAGTATACGGTACACACGAGATTTGGCGACAATTTTCAAAATCGTGTCAAGGTGCCAGCGTAAACTTTAATTAACTTGATTTTAATATTATTCATACCATTTAATGTGGCTTCTTCCCTCTAAATTTATTTATTATTAGTTAATAATACTTCCAAATTTCAGGTAATTTTTTCTGGCATAATTCTGAAACTTAATTCTAGCTGTATGATGACATACTATCACGAAATTTAATGCACATAATTTTTGCTTATGTATAAATAAATATGAAATACTTGAATTTATTCTAAAATATCATTAAAAATACTTAAATCTTTCGTTTAGCTGCAAAATGTCTGCAAAAAAAGACATTTTTTAATCTAGATTGGGCAGATTCAAATCTCAGTCTTCAGTGCAGAAAACAACCATTACAGTTACAATAGTAATTCTTTGGGAATTATATATATTCATATATTATATGTAAGTCATGTATAATTGGCAAATTTTTCTGTTTTCAAGTGGTACTATAATTAATTTACCTCTCAGCACAACCTATGCGCATTACGCGGTTAGACTGAAATTTTCTTAAAACACACCTGGAAAAGTCGGGGAATTTCATTCTCCTGTTTGAGTAGCAACCCTGTGATTGAATTTTACTCCCAAAAAATCCCAGAAACATTCAAACTTTTAGAAAAGTTTTATGTTTATGATTTGTAGAAATTAAATTGAAAGTTTCCATTCTTTTATAGAACTAACTTTTCATCCTTACATCTTTCATTACTTTAAAAATGCGAAAGTTTAATTTCAACTTAACATTAAACATGCATTCATTTAAGTATTGACTAAAATCCCCTAAAATATTCATGAAAATTACCTAAACGGAAGGAAATATGTTAATTTCTTCTAAGCTATACCATGTACGGAAAGCTTCTAAAATTATTAAATATTGAATTAACATCAATTGTTTTATCTTTTAAAAAAATCCTGTTACGTCTTTACATTTTTTAATCGGGTCTTCACATTTTGGAAGCAGATGTTTGTATATCATATGGTGTAAGACCACATTAGTATATTAGTCAATATTTGTTATAATGGCTATTCCATTACAATGACCAGTACAAAAAGTCCCCAACTGCATATTAAAGCAAATTTTGCTAAAATGGCCACATGTTATAACTTCAATTATAAAATTTTAACTTCAATTATTATTCTGTTCAATTATAAAAATATATTTTTCTCGATTACTAATTATCATATCAAATAAGTTTTGATAGCATTAAAAGTTTAACCTTTGATATTAAGCAAAAAACTTTGATAATTTTCTTTAAATATACAATCTGTTGCAAGAAAAATATATGTACCCTGAAAGAATTGAGCCAAAGCTATGAAACTTAACAGTAATGTAGCATTCAAGTAGATAAAAACTGATTAAAAAAAGGGGCAAAAAAGCATTTTATTTATGAATAGCAATACAAAGAATATGAAAATCAGTAGGTGTTAAAGCCAATGCAGGCAGCTATACAAGCCAATACTCGGTTGGGCATGAAGTCTATTAAAGTCTATAAATTAAGTCTATTAAAATCCTCTGTGGTAGATTGTGGATTGTGTTCCACAAATGGAACAACTGGTCATCGAGTTTAGACATATTTGTATAATGCCGAATTTGTCTATCCAACATGTCCCAAACATATATTCGATAGGGGACAGATCTGAAGACCTTGCAGGCCAGTCAAGGACATCGAAAATATTGTTGACAAAGTCATGCTATGTCCTGCTCGAAAACGATGGATAGAGTCAGAGTGACTACTGGTGAACAGCTGATCACTTCCTGCTTGGCAACAAATGATGCATCAGACCACTAATCTCGTGTTGGTGGAGTGTCAATAGCAAGCGTCTTGATGGGCATCGAGATCTGAGCACAGTGTCACCTAGTCATCTGCGAATCATATGATGGGATCTCTGCGAGCTGGTAAATGTCACTTAATTGATGATAGTGTACCTCTTGGAGTGGACGTGACAGCTCTTGTAATTGTGTGATCATCATGCTCCTTGATAGTCTGGGGATGTACAGAGCCACTGCGGTGGCTGGCTGTGCTGAGCCACTGGTTCTAACAATGACCCTATCGCTTTGACCATTATGCCAGCCGATCCAATTGCTCAACCAACTGGCCTCTTTTAGCCCTATTACGAGACCCCTCTCAAAATCTGACAACTGTTCAAAGCCCTATCAAGTATGCCTGAAAGGCATCTTTTGTTACAGTGTCATATACCCAAGCCATCAGTGTAGCTGTAAATGGTCATGACTTGCTACACATGTCCTTTTACATTGCACCAATTGTGGCCTTCAAATGTGCATATATGTTTATGCAACAGAGTGTATTTAAATAAGTATGGTCAAATACCGAAAATCCGCCAACTCCCGAAATCTGCGTTGCCTCTCAAAATATAAACATTCAGTTTATAGGTTCCGGAAACCGCAACATGGAGTACGAACTATAGAAGAAAAAATACTGAATATTGACGTCATAATTACTGAATAGTAATGAATCATAATGGAAATACCAAAATTATTGACATCATAATAAAAGTTTTTTTCCGTCTAATCTGCATCAAGGTAAAAAAGCAGACGATTCACTCAACTCTTCTTTCTAATTCATGATTCACGTTGTTGTATTTTCTGAGCTTTGTTATTTTACGAGATTATTCAGTGCTGCCTTTTTTTTTTATGTGGATAAATTAAGAATATCTTAAATTTCAGCCCTTTTTTTAATACAATGGCAGATAAGAAACTCATTTTACTGCTTGCAACGTTGAAAAATGTACACACATTGCATTGACTTTTCAAAAAGTGCAAATTTTGAAAAAGACGAAGGCAGGTTCCACTCCTTGGATTATAACAGAATCGTGTGGAATTGCGACACGATTGTGTTTGATATACAGAAAAATAAAGAAAAGCTGCTGAAATTTTACAGCAACAGTGATTCAAACGCAGGAATCCGAAATCGGCAAACCTGGATGCTATGTACATATAATACACTGAATAATATAATCAATTTATATATGTAATAATAATTTAATGCATATAATAAATTATTGCAATAATGTATATAATAATTTAATTAAATGTATCTAATATGCCTTATTTATTTATCACTTTGAGTCTGAATATTAAGATTTATTTTTTCTGTCTTGAAATCCGTAAAATCCGCCCAACCTTTGCGGATTTCTGGACTTTTACTATATTAAAATTTAGAATGCATGACAAAATATCCTTAGTTAGTTAGTGTTATTCTGGTAATAACAAACAAACAAAAATACGTGAATAGAACACATTATAATTTTAAATAAAAAGAAATGCAATTTAAAATGTCTTATTCATTCATTTCTTTATATTTAATGGTATTCAGTGTTATACTATATCACAGCAATGTAAATAATTTAATCATTTAACTAAACTTTAAAAAAGTGATGAATATGTTGCCAACAGTGTCCACAAGAGCATTATTAATTTTACCCCTAAACTAGCTCCCTTTTTAATACGGGAAAGCATTTGATATCTGACAAATATAGAAATATTTCTTGGATCTCCTTAATAGGACAGCTAGGGAATTACAGAGGATCCTGAATTCCTGCAAACTTCAAAAATACTTTCATAATGGGCCTGAATGTCAAATACTGCAGAATCATTAATGACTTGAAAGCCTTTAGGTCACAGGGAAACTGAGCAAGGAGCAGCTGAAGTGAGAAAAGCTTAAGGGAAGCTTCTATTGCAATGAAGGAGAATAACTACATACAACTAATTGTGTATTCAAATTTGCTTTCAACTAACATTTATGCAACGACGTTTTTGTGCAGTTCTTAATGTTGCCTATCTAAAACTATGTGAAAACAAAGGAGCACTTAACTGTTTTGCCCGAATGCCGTTCAACTGCTGGAAAAAAGGACTATGCTGTTTCATCTGTAATCATTTATATTGTTCTGTTTGAAGCAGAGTTGACTTTCTGTTTTTATAATAGTGATATCATTAATAAAAAATACTTAATAAAAGAAACTTAAGCTATATAATAATGCAAGAATTTAAATTGCCTTTTATAGTTTCAACTGATACAGCGCATCCAATTTTAGCAAGTATTGATGTAGATGCGTATTTTGCATTTGCTTGTGAAATCTCACATAATTGGACTAACTTTTATATTTTTCGGTTGAATTTTTGTAAGCACACTCAGATTTAAAGGAAACAAAAATGTTATCTAAATTTTCATTTTTATATTAATTTTTAAAAAGAAGCATTTTTCCTGTATTGTTTCATGTAAATCATCCTTTATAATGTATTTACTTTTCTGCATTAACATTTTATTTTATAGGAATTCAAGTGAAAGTACTGAAGTTAAGGATTCCAATGATCAGACACATAGAATCATTATTGATTGTTCAACATTTATATTTGTGGATATGTCTGGACTAGAAACACTGTTAGAGGTATGGTTTCTTTAAAATCTCTTTTTGATTATTTATAAGTTAAAATTTTGTTTTTGCAATCTTTACCAATTTTAATATTTGGAATTTGAGAATTGTGTGTCATTTAACATAGAAATCATGATGAAATGTTATTTATGGTGAATCTTTTAGAAAGTATATTTAAAATATATATATATATAGTTTCTTTTCATTTCATAATTTTGAATTAGATGTGTTGCTTTAAGATTATATAATTATAGTCTGTTTCTTAAATAAGCACTTCAAGGCCATTGCCACCCTCCCTTCATTTGGGATCATAACTCGTGTCATCATCACCATACAACATTTATTTTCTGAATTTCATTTGAGGCTGTAATTCAGGTCAGCCTTCATTTGTACACTTTATCATTATTTCTTTGCATACAACTGAATTGCAATAATTATTTTACATTTGAGAACAGCTGCAAAACGACTGCATGAAAAAAAAAATTTAATTGCAAACTCTTCTTCAAAGTGTTGGATTGCAATCTACAATTATCATATTTAGTCTTTTAAAACTATGAACTTTATGAAATCGTAGCATCCTACAACAATTTATAAAATTACTAATTTGGTTTATGAAATTCTTGGAAGCACCTGTTCACTTGTAATATCTTCCTTTTTCTTGATTATCTTCTTTAAAGTAATAGGCTATAAAATAAAAATTGGTGATTAAAAGTTCTTTATTAGGTAAAGCAGTACTCATTCTAAATTTTGTATCTGGCCATTGAAATTATTAATTACTAATATCTTCTAATTTTGTACATAAAAGTGTTGAATTTTTTATATGATTTGTTAAAGTATGAAGCCATAATTTTAATAACTGGACTTTTCGCAGTACCAAAATTATATGAACTATAATGACACTAATAAACACTTTTCGCACTACAAAAGTTTCATGAAAATTCAATTTTGTATTTCTTCTGGAAACTTTCATTAATTTAGCTACCTTATACTGAAAAACTTTGTAATCGAGAGCATATGTCTAAGATCAGAATTTTAAGAAATAACGGCCTAAATCTACTTTTTTCAAGCTCTTTGAAATATTCAGTACAGAGTACTTACATTTTTTACAGACAGAGACAAATTTTCAAACTAGGGAATAAATACTTTGTCCTTAATCCGTTTAAATTGTTTTAGATAATGTTAGATGATACTAGCACAAGAAGAATCAGTACAAGATGCATAAATTTGCTGGACTACTTTTGAAGGTTTGAATGGAATCATTTCTCACTCCTGCAGCTAAACTAAAACTACAAAACTAGTCCTGAAAATTTATGCAATATTTTCTAATTCTTGTTGCTTTACTATGATCTAACATTTGTTCTTTAATATTATCTTTAATGTTTGCTTGCTTTTTAGGAAACAATGAAAAACGGAAAAAAATTATAATTAAACAAATCTAGAAAAAACACTGTATTTACTTAGCAATTATCATTCCTCTCATAATGTAGTTATAAAACTGTGTGCAGAAAATTATAGATACATTATTCTTAAATTACTTTTCTCCGTTTCTTGTTTATTTATGAATGAAAATATTTAATAATTAAATAGTCATTGTTTTTTAATTTTTTAAATTTTAGATTATGAAGGAATATCAAGAAGTTGGGATAACAGTATTTATTTCAGGATGTTCAAGTAAGTTACATCAATCAGTTGAAATCTTCTGTAATTCATTATATCTATTCAAAGTATACATTCAGTATGGACTCATAGAATTATTGTGGTTATTAAATAATAAGCAAATTTGATGCTCTAATTTTTAAAAATCAATTTGATTTCCTTCAGTAATTAAATACTTTTATAGAACTACAGATAAGTTTTTAATATATTTTCCTAATTTAATTCTGAATTTGTTGGGATCTTAAAAAAAAAAAAAAAAAAAAAAAAAAAAAAAAAAACCTTAGTATATTGTTTTGCAACATAGCAATTAAATAAAATCATTCTCTTGCATAAAACATCAATAATAATTATTGTATGGATAAGCTTTTGAAAACATTATAATATAATTTCGCGAAGAAGCTTTTTTCACACTTTTTAATGCAAGTGTAAAAAGTATTTTAATCATTCTTTTGTTGACTTTTTTGGATGGAGAAGGCACTCCGTAGAAATAACTGTTTGACAGTAGAATGCCATTGTCCTTTTTAAAGAGGCATAGGATGAATTTAGTTACACATCAGAAGACCTCAAATTAGCCAAAATCTAAAAAGCATAGCTTCTCAGATGTCAAAAATAAAACGCAGATGGCATCAGCAATTCAATAATAAATTTTAAAAATTCTAAGAATATATCTTTTTTGTGAAAAAATGATATTTTGTAAATAAATTTAGTTTTCCTCTAAATGTTAGTTTAAAAAAAAATTAATGCAAAACAACAAAGTTATTATTTGACGAAGTAATCGCTATAATTTGAGAAGAAAGAAAAACTAGTACATCCTAAAGTTTTAGAGCAAAATACTACAAACAAAATATTTGAGAAATGTAAAAATATTTTATATTCTTTTTATCCTTGCTTCCTTTTTATGTAAAATATATACATTAGATAAATTATAATTAAAATTCGCAATATTTAATTTTAAATAGTTTATATATCCTTTCTTTATACTAAAATTGATAATCTTTTTCTGCCGTGCATCATTTCGAGACTAATCCATGTCATATGACTCTTGCATAATGTTGGTGATGTAAAATGGAACTAACACTTAAACAGCCAATAATAATAATTTTACAGCAATATTAATTACCCAATCAAATGCATTGAGAACCAAAATTAACTTCTAAATTAAGATTTCATCTTCAATACAACTTCACTTGCTTTCTACACTTCGGTCTAGCTGGCCTGTTGCTCTCCTTATTGTAAATCTATCAAAAATGTAGGCATCTTAAAAATAGGCACAAGTAGTGTGCCAGGTTGTTTATGGGTGCAACATGTTTACTGAAATAAAATTGAAAATTGAATCTGCCTCAGCTGCCAGTTTCCTGTTCATTACGAATCAAAATCAAAATTCTTGCACTTCATTATTGAGTACATTTCTATATCAATTTTTCTACAACATCAGTGCTTCTAAATTTGCATTCATTATAGTGAGTGTTTGCTACATATATAATTAAAATATATTTCTTTGTCATATCTCTGTGCTGCCAAAAAATGAAACTTAAAAATAAAAAACATAATTTATCAAGGATTTATCATAGAAATATACTATTTCAGACACATATGGTAAGGGAAAAAAACACATAAATTAATGAGATGGATGTTCTTGCATATTTTTGACAAGATATTCATTCAGTCCTTGGTTAAATAGAAGAAAATGCCAGGGCTAAAGAAAGAGAAGGGCTGGGTCATCCATTTGAGAAGAACGATGCCAACACAAACCCCTCTTGGGGAGTATACCGGATGTTATGTGACATCACTGGGTTCGTCCCGTCGTCGACTGACCAGAGCATCAAGTGGAAAGATTGAATTCTCTTTAGCCCTGTTAGTTTCAGAGAAAGAGTTTTTTTTTTTTTTTTTTTTTTTCTTGAAAGTTATAACTGATGATACTTTTAAAGGGATTTTGTATTTAGAAAGTTCTTGTAATGAGAAATCATTGAAAAAATGGTATTGTGTGCCGTTGCTACCTGTAGCAATACGTATCATAATACGAAAGAAGCTAGCGTGGTATTTCATAGATTTCCATACAAAAATATTCAGTTAACGAAAGAATGGTTGCGTAGGTGTCGAAGAGCGGATATTGTTAGCACAAAAAGTGCTCGAATATGCAGCAATTACTTCACTGAATCTGATTATGAGGATGATATGAAAAATAGGTTGCTAGGATGACCGACAAAAAAGATACTGAAGTCAACTGCTTGTATTCCTGACTTGATTATTTATCAGAATACACCACGGTAGCAAAGGCAACAAAAAAAAAAAAAAAAAAATTTACAAAGTGCATTTGAAAGAATTCAGAATTTAAGTCCTAAAAAGGCATGTCTGGAACTTCAAAACGATGACAATAATAGCTATGAGGAGCTCACTGAAAATAATATTACTCAGCAATGTTGTAACTGTTCCAACCTCCAGAAAAATGTGAATGATTTAATGTAAAAACTAACAGCTCTTGAGAATAAGGTTTCTGTTTTACAGACTGAGAGAAAGCAGCATTTAAAAACTATCTCCCAGCAAAGAAAAAGATTTAAACGGAATAGAAAACTAATATTAGAAAAAGTTCAGAAACTGAGGAAAGAAATTTAAAAAGTGAATCAAGAAAATGAAAAACTTAGAAAAATGAAAGCGTATATTCAAAACATATTTACAGAAACTCAAATAAATGCATTAATGAAAAAAAAGCGAATTAAATGATCTCCAGACAACATTTCAAAAAGCATAGTAATCAGATCGTTATCCATAAAGTCATACGACTTCTGGAAAGAAAAAATGGGTATTCCGCTTCTAAGTGCAAGTACACTGAAAAGATGGTGTTCAAGATTCAGTTGCATTTCTGGCATTTTAAATGATGTACTGTTATTGATTATTGATTAAAAAAACTTTCCAAAATGCAACTGACGAAGAAAGATTATGCGTATTAAGTTTCGATGAAATTGATATAGATTCAAGTGTATACCAGCCAGTTTCCCTTAGAAAGTCCTCCACGCAGGCATCCCTCCCCTTAGGCAGATAGCCCTCGAGATTTTGCCATAATCACACACACACGATATAGATTCAAGACTCTGTTATGATTCAAAATTAGATCAGATATTAGGTCCTTTTTAAAGACTCAATTTGTATTGGTTCCAGGACTCATTTCACAATGGAAACAGTGCATTTATTTTGATTTTGATCGTCGAATGAAGGAAAATCTTCTGTCTTCCATTTTGTTTGCACTTGAATCGTCTGGGCTTCGGGTCAAAGCAATTGTATCTGACATGGGAGGTAGTCAGACCCTTTGGAAAGAATTACAAATTTCAACAGTTAAATCTTTCTTTTACAGTCCCAAGTTCAGCACCAAAATATGGGTTTTCGCTGATATGCTGCATTGCATAAAGCTTTTGAAAAACCATTTTCTTGATAAAGGTTTTATTCTCGGAAATGGTACAATTATAAACAAAGATGTTATATATGAAGTACTCAATAAAGATATCGGAGAGAAATTAAACTGTGCTATGAACTGAAACCTAAATTTTTATCTGTAAAAGGGAACGAGAGACAGAAAGTAGTAGCACCAGCAAAAAGCATTATTTTCCTCCAACAACGGCTAAAGCAATTATTGCATTTGACTGGTAATGCTGCAACAAGTAATTTTTTTTCAATGGTTGATGATTTTTTTTGACATTATGAATAGTAGTGTACCATTTACCCCCCTAGCAATAAGCCTTTAAAAGCTGCTTTTCGGCCTAGAAAGCTATTATGAAGTACAAAAAGAAAAATTAAATGAGATCAAGCAAATGATTTTTGATCTCAGAGTATGAGGAAAGAAAGACAATGCTACCTTTTCAGAAAGGTATTATCATATCGATAAATTCGCTTTTCGGTTTATTTGATGACGTAAAATCTATAAATGTGAAATATATTTTAACATCGAGACTGACTCAAGATGTATTAGAAAGCTTGTTCAGCCAGATTCGGGGTCTAGGGCGTTTTACGTTTTAATGACCATCCGTCTCCATCAGACGTAATAATTCGCCTGAAAAGGTTGCTATTGGCAAACAAATTACCCAAATTGTCGTTAAAGACAAATGCTAATGACTGTGAAGATGTGAAGAAAGTTGAAGCATATTTGACAAAAGAGCTGTTAGAAACAGCTTTTTCTTCAAATGAAAAAGCACAAATGTTTGAGTCTTCCTTATACGAAGATGATTTAATTAATTACGAAGACATCTATGATGAATGTACGTCACTTCCTTGGGAAACCGAAATTTATGATTCAATGAAAGATATATCTGCATATGAACAAGAATCGCTCGCTTATGCAGGTTATATTGCATATCGTGTGAAAGATAAAGATCCTACTTTTGGGTGAAATATCAAAAAAAATTCGTAGATATTCCTAACGACTCAAATTGGATATTTTTATTATCTAAAGGAGGATTAACTGTACTATCACCAGTTTGGATGGAAACGATTATGAAAATGGAAAATGTTTTCCGTCCTTTTCATGGCAGTTCTTTTCGAAAAGGTAGAGGTGTAATTCAGAATCTCATTTCTGAACTTGAGAAATGTTTTCCCTCCGTGAATAAGAGTGCAGTTCATTTATTTTGCCGTTTACGAACATTTATAAGGGTTCGGCACTTGAATAGGAATGCAACCCTTGTATCGGCAAGAAAAGCTGACTAGTGGTGGTGTGGTGTATTTAATTATGGCAAAGCACACTAGGGCTATCTGCCTAAGGGGAGGGATGCCTTTCGTGGAGGACTTTCTAAGGGAAACTGGCTCGTATACATGTTACACATGGGGAAAACCACGAAAACGCCCATGCAGCCAGCCCGTTCGCGGGATTCGAACCTCGGACCGAACTACCTGTGTTCAGCGACATTACCGCTCGGCCGCTGGTGGGCTCGAAAAGCTGACTAGAAAGCAAATAAATGGATGAAGAGTAATAGAGGATTATGAACCAAACTATATAGGGGGAAAAAAAATCATGTAAGTTGATTCATAATTATTCCTAACAAAAATAATAATTTGAATCATTACTTTGTTTATTGTCCACTTAATTTGTGACCTAATTTATGCATGTTTCAGTTAATTATTTGGACTACTATATAAAATATTATATATTATTATATACTAATTTAGACTGCTAAATTTTACTATATGAAATAAACCATGAAATTTTGCATAAACATAAATTAGAATCAGAGCATATACTTTTAAAATGTAAGAATACATGCTATTATTCCAAAACATATAAATACTATCTTAAAATATTTTCATTATTTTTTGAGTAATTGGCGTTAAATAATAATGCTTTCATAATAGACATTGCAAAAGCTTACAAAATTCTACTACTCCATTAACTAATATTTAATTAGATAGATGTGTAATGTCTTTAGCATGTATTCTCAAAATTTATTTGCATATTTTTATTTAATATTTCTATAATGCAAATTACTTCGCGACTAACTTATATTTTAACGCGAAAAGAATTCTTCGTAAATGTAGAAATTTACGTATGTTATCGGTGGGTTACTATTAACATATATTTAAAAAGATGATTATGAAAAAGATTTACTACATTTAGGGTACACTCGACCTAAAAAATTAGTTATATTTATGCATATGTGTTAATTAAAAAATTAGTTGTTTATGCATGTTTTACTTACGTTTTACGTATATTAGAGTTTAATTTGATTTGACGTAAATACGTTTCTAGTTCATATATAGATGCATGTATATTGCAATTTCATGAGCTAAAATCTCTGCTCATATTAGTTATTAAACTATTTTTCAAAATGTTTTGATTCTCAAGCAAATGCTTAAAAACTGAACAGCAGAACTGACCAAGCGAACCCAACTATGTCATCAGTCTCTTCTTTCGGTTTCAGCCGCGAGATGCTGATGAACTAGCCCTTTAGCCCTGAGAAAGTGCACAACGTAAATTATTAGCAATACTGAGTTATTAGCTTCTATACTTCGATTTATTGCTACAGCTGCTGAAAATGCTCTTTCGCACAAGTAAGTGCTTGAAAATGGCGAGTACAGTTGTAGTGTTTACTTTACTATGCTAGGATGAACTTTTTAATTATTTTATCCAAAATAATGGCTTATCCATCTTCTCAAAGCGGTATTTGGCTGCAGAATCATTTTTAATTTCAAAAGCTTGCTCTTGTAGTGTTTCTGGTAGCACAGCTAGGTCAATATGAAAAGGATCCATCCCCATTCTGTAAAAATTTTGATCACACATGTTAGAGAAGTAACATTTGAATTCATCAGTAAAGTGCTGCAAATTACTTTATATTTTATTCTTAGTATCAGTATTTTTAAATACCTCCTTAAAGCATGCTTCTTCCAAGATTCCAAAGCAGGAATTAAAAAGTTTTACATTCCCGGACTTGCAACTTATCAGTGTACGCTCTAGTGGTAAATTATGTTAAAATCTCCAACTTGTAATTTCAAGTTCAATGAGTTTTGCAAATCAAAAACATCTGATAGCTAAGCCAATACAACTTAAAACTTGGCTTTTGGAATTCCGCATACAGTGCCATTTGATTCTAAATACTGAATCACTTTATCTCTAAATTCAGATAATTTTGTCAACATATTTCCTTTTGAGAGTCAGAATACTTCTATCTTGAACAGAACATAAAACACTTATTTATGTCCAAATCTTCAAAAAGGGCCATAAAATGTCAAGTATTTAAAGCATTCTTTTTAACATGATTGACAATTTTGATGCATAATTTTAAGACATTGTGTTCGTTTGAAAGTGTCTTAGCTGCCGAGACTATAGACAGTGTTATAACACAGTGAATAACTGCAATATTGGGATTTTTTTTCTCTGACCATCTACATAAATCTTGAGTGATATCCAAACAGTGACGGAACATCGTCTGTGAACATCTGTCACCTATCAGCTTTTGCCATGACAGTGAATACTTTCAAAAGAATTCAGACATTATATGAATGATTTTGAAGTAATCAACTCTGTAGAAAACAGCATCTTGTCTTTAAGTATTTCATTTTGTGTGAAATGAACGAAAACTAACAATTTACAACATTTTGCAATGTCTAAATCTCATCCAATAGTAATACAAAAAAAATTTCTTTCACTGCCTGCACAAACTAATTTTTTCTGTCTTTGGTCATATCATCAATGCCACATTTCACAGTGTTGTCAGAAAAAGGTATATGTGAAAGTTTTTTACTTTCTAGTCCAAGAACAATATAAGCTGCTTTCAACAGGCAAAGTTTAATGAGTGTTTCTCTAATATCACTTTTCTTGGCCTTTGTGATGAGTAGGGATAACTCATACGAAGCTACGAGCGCTTTTCACATGACTGAGCAAAGGATTCAGTATTGTCCAATTTCAGATGTTTCAAATTTGCAGCTAAAAAGTGCTTTCAGCCTCTTCTTTAACAGGCTATGTTTTGTTGACAAATGTTGCAGACAACAAGGTCTCATAGCATCATTGCTCAATACTTCGTAACAAATAACACATTGCAGCTGGTCGATGCCATTCTTTGAAGGATGGATAGCTCCTGTAAAGTAAACTTGGAGTATATTTTTCTCTCTGCAGTCCGATGCAGCTACTCGTGCTTTGGCAAAGCTTTTTTCTTAACATGCATGTTCTTTGGCCCAGCTAAGACACGAGTGCAGCACGGCAGGGTGACACAAGTGGTGTGGTGGACTGGTCACCTGGCCCACACCTCCCTCTGATGTCATTGTGCCTCCCTTGGGAAACACATCCCCCCCCCCACTTTGAGAAGTCAGAAATTGTTTTCATTTTTTATCTTTATTTATTCCTTTTCCCTAAATCTAACCATTTTAATGACTCAAAATCCGTACATCAGCTTTGAAGCCCTGTGGCTTTTCAATTTTCTGCTATGCTTATTAAATCTTATTCTTGTTTGTTCATTAGCTAGACTAAAAATAATTTCTTGAACAGGAAATGTGATAAATTACTAAATAATGCATAATAAAACTCCATAAGTAAATCAATGACCAACTTCTGCATTTAAAATTAACTAGTTCTCACATCTGGCTTTTTAGTTTACTAAGGATTAAATACTTCGACAAGAAATCAGTCATTTGGTGGATATTAAATACCCATTGCTGTAGAAAAAATATTGTAGTTTTATGTAAATATGATGTGTAACACAAAGTTCAGTTTAGAGTATTATTATCTTTTGACATTTGTCTAATCATACAGCATTTATGTAAGCATTCCACTTTACTATGGAGTAATTTAGAATTTCCTGCAGTTTGGTAAATTTGTTCTCATGCTATTGGTAGACATGAGTGTATAGAATCATTTTCATTTGCCTAATGAATTAGTACTATCTGCATTATGTATATTTGTTATTATTTAAGCATTTTTGCAATGGTGTAAAAAGGATTGCAATGTCAACCCATTGGTAAGACCATTAAACACTGATGGTTCATTCTAATTTTTTATCCCAGCAAATAGGCTTATCGTATGGAAATTTTCATGGTTGTGCAGTATAATACAAGCCAGTTTTCCTTAGAAAATTATCCACAAAAGCATCCCTACCCTTACACAAATAACCCTTGTATTAGTTGCTATAATCCAGTCCACTGCGATTTTATATCAGAATTTCCTGCAGTAAATTACTTTTTGTATGAAAAAATAAGGTAATTTTAAGCAAGATTATTTAGCCATTAATCAAGAGTTTATGTCATTTATATGGAATGTAAAAAGCATCATAATGACTCCACATCAAATAAGAAAATGTTAAAGAAATCTCATAAAGTTACCCAGTCTTTCGACCATTACATAGTATACCGATTATTATTAATTAACTATAAAAATTTTTTACACGATCGCATAGAATTATCTGACAAAGCGTGAAGTTTATAGATGTGTTAACTTTTCTAGCATTTAGTAAATAAATACTTGCAAACTGTGTAGTTGTAAAAAAAAAAGTAATATCCAAACCAATGAAGGGCCCACCAGCGGCCGAGCGGTAACGTCGCTGAACACTGGTAGTTCGGTCCGAGGTTCAAATCCCGCAAACGGGCTGGCTGCATGGGTGTTTTCGTGGTTTTCCCCATGTGTAACGTGTATACGAGCCAGTTTCCCTTAAAAAGTCCTCCACGAAGGCATCCCTCCTTTAAGGCAGATAGCCCTCGAGTGCTTTGCCGTAAATAAAAACCAAACCAATGAAATTATGAATTGAATTTTCATACAAGCCAAGCACACAAGAGCTCTCTAACATGAGAGATATCTTTATGGAGGCTTTTCTAAAAGAAACTTGTTACTTTTTGTTATGTCATGATTTAATATGTTTTAAAATGTACCTTTTTCTTGCATTTTCAGATTCTTCTAAAATTTTGCTACTTACCCACAATATATATATTTTTATCCAAAAATTCTTATGACTTTTTCTCTCCTTTCAGTTGCTATGCATGACATAATGCAAAAAGCCAAGTTTTATGAAAAAGTTCCTCATCATCCAGCTATTTTTCCTACCATTCATGATGCTGTAGAGTATAATTATCTTCAGCATTCGGCTATATCAAGCAGATAACACAGATGATTTATTAATTATAATTTTATTTATAAATACTGAATAAATTTTCTCAAAATGTGATATTTGTAAAAGAAAATGTTTAATATATTTTTAAAATCAAATATTTTTTTGATGTAAATATATTTTTCATGTACAGATTTTACTTACCTGAAAAAATCAAATGCTTGAAAATTGTATAAAATGAACTTTGTAGCATACACATTTGCATTAGTGAGTTATATTTTTACCAAAGTCTAATTTATTAAATGCATATCTATCTAAATACTAGCATATAAAGAATGACTTATTTTTGCAAAAGAAATGTAAAGCTTTATCTACTACTCTTGACAGAATTAAAATAAGTGTCTTATTTTGAAATTCTGGATTAAGTTGTGGTTAACATTCATTTCCATAATGTAATTTTTAGAAACTCATTAATTAAAAAATAAGTGGTTTAGAAAGGAAAATATTTTATGAAAGTGTAATCTGTACATCTTTCAGTAATTGTACCTATTTTGCTGTACATATTCATGTTGTGTATTGCATTTTTATTAAAATTATTTTAATGATAGTTTAATATTTTCTTTATAATATAAATACTACGACAAATATTTAAAAAAAAAAATCAATTTAAGTCTTAGCATTTGTGAACAGTATTGACTTCACTGCTAGAACTGAAGCACTCGGACATTTTTCACACTGAAGGCTGAAGCAGCTAAAACGCACCTTAGTAGCAACCACACAAAAACTAAATACAGTACAAAGTCTGTAATCCGGACTCATCGGGACTTCAGCGATTCCAGATTACAGATCATCAATTTAATTCTTGTAAGATGGCATGCAGAAATTATACAATTAAAACATGAAATCGTAATTTATGATATAAAGGGTATCAAAATTTACAAAAAAAAAAAAAGCTTAATATTTATTTGTTTACTTTATTAAACATTTCTTTCAATGTAAGTTGTAATTGCTTCGTTTTTGTGCTAATACTTTCTCTTAATTTTTAAAAACAGATAATTTTGTTTTCAGTTACAAAGTTCCACTGTTCAAGTCCTGTAATTGCTCTGTCGAGAATACCAACTAACTTGACAATCGAAATTTTTTCGTTTTCAATAACCTCTCTGTCACTTTCACTATCAGAAGTGGTATTTTCTGGATTTAGAACCATATTACAGATTTTGCCGTCCGTTAACTGATTGGGGCATTGTCGTTTCAAAGAAAAACTGTTATATCATCTTCATTTATTGCAATAATAATAACCCTGATCCAATTAGAAGATTAAGGAACAGTGCAATCTGCAACATTAACTGAAATGCCTTAGAATCGGTAAAGATTATTTTAGTCTAGCTTATACCGTCCATTATACATTAAACACGCATGCGTAAAGCATAGAAAAAAGTTTAGGGCTTTGAGGTTCGCATTATATGTTTCTTTGGTTTAAAGAAATGTTTGAAATAAAAAATTATCAAAAGAACAACTAAATTTGCAACTTACAAATATTTAATTAGACCTGATTTGACATATAGAGTTGGAACCTAAGCACTGATTGAAAAGGATAAAAAAGTACTTGCAGTCTGAAAAATTCTGAGAAGCTTTTGTGGGTATTCAATAGATGGCATTTGAAAAACCACCAATTTAGAAATCTATCAGATATACCAGTATACACACACCATAAATTTTATCAGCCTCAAAGATTAAAATGAGCTGGTCAGAATGCCTAACAATAGAGCTACCAAAATAAGATTCACATACAAACTAATAGGTATTCGAAAGAGACGGAAACCAAAGAGAGTTTTAACTAACTTAAAGGTCAGTAATTGGAAGACTAAAGCCAAGAGTAAAACAGCCTGGAATGAAATTCTAATGATGACGCTGCCAGAGTCCATGGGCTGCTGAGTTACTGAAGACTGCATATTTCATGTTCACTAAAACTCAAATGGGCAAGCAATAAGTTAGAAAAAAAATTCCTTATTTCATTTATATCTATTATTATATCGCAACAACACACAAACTAATATTGCACAATATTTTATTTCAAAACAAAGCTAAATAATTTCAAACTGGGTGCAGTCACTCAGTACCCATCTCGAAAAAATTTAGATACATATATAATTTAAACTTTCTTCTGCAACACTACTTCTAATTTTACTATATTTATACACTTCCCTTATATGATGAAATTCTGTTAACACTAGATTTGAAAGATATCGAATACAGTTGTGCCTTAAAAAATTATAATCAGTTAGCTAGTCATTTGTATCTTTGGACTTGCATCAGAAATGTGAGTTAATCCCCTTTTACAACTCATGTTGCCAATATGAGGTGTTGTTTATCATGTTGATTCTCAAAAGTTTTGACTTGAAAACAGGTCTACTTAAATTACAGAACCTTGATTATCTGAGCAAACTGGGGACCAAAACTACCTTAGCATTGCCCATCTATGTCATTCGAAAATCAGATTTTTTTAAATGATAAAAAAATATGCTTCCTACCTTACATAAAAAGAAAATATACTTTTTAATAATGAATAAACTTTAATAGTAACTAATTAATATCTGAAAGTTGTTACGAATTCTTAAATGCAAATAGTAAAAAAAAATTATTTTTGCCTTTTAAAAAATATTTTAATTAGTTTCCATACAAATGCTCAGAATAAGTGGCAGACTTTATTCATTAAGAAAGAAACTTTGTAATTTTGTTTAGAGCAATTACAACATAGGCCTTCTTTTCCTAATAAGTTTTTCTAGTATGCTAATACTGGATATTAATTTAGGCCTTGTAATATTGAATATCCTCTTGCACTCTGCATTACTGTGGAGAATTATCAAGATGGTCAACATTATTCTAAACTGTTCACGGTATTTTAAAATTCCATCAGCATTTTACAGTTAAACTCTACTAGGCATGAATCCTTTCCGGAAATTTTTCTATTTGTAAACTACAACTGAACTTATCAATATGATCGTCTTTTAAAACTACATGAAATTAAACTGGAAATCTATTAAAAAAATATATCAGAAAAAGGATGCATTTACTACAGAAGAAACATCTGCACCTGTAACATCGTTTCACTGTTGCTTGGAAATTTATGTAGTATGTAATCACATACTTGGCAGAAGTATCTTCTAATATGGAAATGCAACTTATTGTATTCCTTTGCAAAAAGCATTACTTGTAAATAGACAGCATATTCACTTCTAAAATATTTCATTCTTTTGATTTTGTGAACCACAGTAAACAGGTTGAAAAATACAGGAAGATAAAAAAAAAAAAAAAAAAATGTGTAAAAGTAAATCAAGCTATTCAGTGGGATAGTAAACAGCATTTGGTTGATCTTTGGATTATCGTAACTTGGCGATTTTTTGCGAAAATTTGGCGACCAACTCTGCTACAGCAAGCCTCTATTTTTTTCGCCGCCATTTTGTCTTCACGAAGTAAAGTTTCTTTTCTTTTTATTTACTCAACACTTTTTCCAATGGCCTTTGGACTTTTAGATCCTCATTTGGAATCATAACCGAAACAGTAGGAATTCAAAAAAGATTCTCAAACAAAGAAAAGAAAATTATGTTACATGTGCTCAAGAAAATCAAAAACTGTATGTGTGAAGTGTAAAAAAAAATGTCAAGAAAACTGTGAAATAGAAGCTTCATGTATAAACTACAAAATATCTAATTCTTTGAGCTAATTGTTTGAAAATTAATTATAAACTCATTGTCCATGTAATAATTCGCATAATTTGGATTATAATTGCATTCAAAAAAAAACACAATTTCTCATAGAAATCAATGATTCCTAGTCATCTGAAGAAAATGTAAGTACTTTTATTTGTTATTAATTTTAAAATTAACATAATTTTTAAGTTATATAATAAATGTTGCAATTAATACAGAATGCATTATTTTACTGAATTATAATAATATGTTTCATTTGTCTGTCATTTAATTGTGACGCGCGTTCTCGTGATAAATAATACAGCATGCATTCTCCCGTGTTAATGCCGCTAATGTCACCTATTTATTATACTTCTATATGCTAAATATCTTACAACTTGGCTTGTACACTAAGTTGTAAGATATTTAGCATATAGAAGTAATATTTAGCATATAGAAGTAAGTGTATGCTAAATATCTTACAACTTGGCTTAAAGTACTAGCACTAAAATCATGGCTTCCATATGATAAATATCTTGCAACTTAACTACATACACCGCTAAAATCATGGCCGATTAGCCGTTGGGGAGCTTGGCGAATAAATACGCATCGGTGCCAGCTGATCCTTTTCGGAAGAGAAACCACTGTTTGAATTAAGAATAACGATCCGTTGTTCCGACATGTTTCAAGGATACTTTCCTATTACACAGGTAATGATCTACTGACCATCACCTGCCACATAAATTATGCGTGTTTGCCATTGATGAACTACTCTCATAATTAAAAACTGTCCAAAATGTGAGGCAGAAAGTGACTGCTTTAAATATATGCGATAATTTATTTGATCAGGACTCGGATAAGACTAAAGTATAAGCAAGAAATAGATGAAGGTATAATAAATAACGTAACATGGATAAAGTCAAGGGAGTGCTCAATGCCATTTTTTTACAATTCTGGGATGTTTTTTTAAGTGAAAATAAGTCAATATGTACATAGATACTGAGTATGTGCAATTCAACGCACTAAGCAGTGGGTGATTCTGCACTTTTCCTATAAATAACAAAACTAACATTATTCAGGCTTAATTTCCTCAGCATACAGCAGAAGAAACACAAATTTTAGTGTAACGTGGCTTAAACCTCCAATCTTGTGATATATCACCAATAGTGCTAAGCTTTATGACAATTGCAACAAATTTGAAGGTTTTCAGATAGGGCATACAATATGCAAAATTTTAAAATTAATGCAGATTGAGAAGAAACACATAGAAGTCGTAATAACTGAAGATATGGGAGAAGCATTCCATTGCGATGACAATGTCACAATAATTAATTACCTAACGGCAGCAAATCCATAAAATATTACTGCCGATAGTGAAGAAAATAACAGACAGGTTGTTGAAAAGAACAAATTTTGATTGGCAATTTAGTGGGAATTTTTTACATGACTTTGTTACTGAAAAAGAAATCATGTCTATATGTAAAAAAGTACTAGCACAAGAAATGAAGCAACTTACTTTGAAAGATATGCTCAATAAAACAAATATCAAGGGTTTTTTTTATTATTTATTCTTTAAAGGTCATAAATGCCTATTATCTTATAAACAATTTCAAATTTTGAATTTTATAATTTCTACATGTCATTACATGCTAAACTTAACCTTCTAAAATCGGGCCAAAATTCTCATAATATAGCCTTCAGACCAGCGCGATCCGAAACAGTTTTGCCCCCTCTTCGACATTTTCCTAATGAGAAAAGTCGTTAGTTCCCCTCCATGGATGAAATAAAATTTACATGTTTGTCGGACGCTTATGTCCCATAGTAGAGGGGTTGCTAGATTTGCAATTTTTTCGATGATTATTTTGCTTTCATATTTAAATGAAAGCAAAAATTCTAAATAAATAGTGCATAAATAAATGTGCAGTACTGAAAGCATATCCAGTGCACACTTTATTTAGAACAAAATGTATGCAATGTTTATATTTCACTTCACTATTTCTAATCAATCTCGTAAATAATTTGTGAATTTTTTAACTTTGTTTTCACTCTTCATTTATATTTCGTATTAGAAATTAGAAAAACGAGAACAAAATTTAACAAAATATAGTAAATACAGACTAGATGGCTGTAAGTCTGCAGGCTGGAATGCGATTTTTAAATAACATATTTTCATTAAAAAAATAATGGTAATGACTAATTTAATGAAATAGTAATAATAATATTTATTACCATTAGATGATTAGAATGAGATTCAATACAATTAGATTTTGAGATGAACTTACAACAATAATAAAGCTTTACATGACAATAACAGAGATTTAAATCTGTTTTTTCGATAATTTTGTTATTATAATATAAAAATCAAAATCCGAGATACATTGGTTGCGTTTAATCATTTAACTTTAACAAATATTACATTGGACTATCAGGCAAAGAAGGTATATCTTTAACGAGAATTTTCTTTGTAAAATTGGCTTTTGTTTATGTTAGCCGAGAAAAAAAAATCCGTGACTTATACATGCAATCATCAAAAGAATTTTGAGAACAGTTTTAAATGTTCATGAAGAATTAATTATATGTCAATTTCTTTCCATAGGTAGAAATTTCGTCTAAACACTATCGTTATATCCAAAAGTTGAAGTCTATTTCATTTGCAACGAATATTCTATTTGCACATAATATATTTTACTAATTTATTTTAGAAAGAGTAATCTTTCACGTTTTCAAAAGAATAAGGAAATATTGGGTGTTGACACAATGTAGTAAATTTGTTTTTCATATTTCTTCCAGTAATGAAAACGATTACCCTGGAATATTTTCAAAGCAAAATTAAGAAAACCGTTTACGCCAAATTGTGCATTAAAGTATCTTCTCGTGTATTTTTTATTTAAAGTGTGGAATTTTCTCTTTGAAAATATCAAAATCATGAAGAGCAAAAATTAATTCATGAGAAATAACTTTGAAATGCAATAATTCCATTGTAATATGAAATAGTGGATAAAAGTGCAATACAGTTTATTTATTCACAAATAATCCCCCTCATATGTGTAATTTATGTACTGTCGATTGAGAATATAGGTTAGTAAATTAAACGGTTATTTCAATACTTTTCCTTTATCAATATTTTTACGGGCTCTTCAGTAGAGCGGTAAAGGTGGCTGAACACTTGTAGCTCGCTTGGGTTTGAGTCCCGGCTAAATAGTTGGATTCATGGTTTATGTGTAACGTAAATGCAAGCCAGCTTCTCTTAGAAAGTCCTCTGCGAAGGCGTAACTCCCCTTATACAGGTAATTGTTGTGTGCTTTGATATAATTCAGTAAGCGAACAAAATTAATCCAATCAATACCGAAGAACGGGTTGATTACACATGTGGAGTTTTCCAGCAGGAACGTAAATGCGAGCAATTTTCTCTTAAAAAGATGTTCCATCGCCTTAACTCTTTCGCATCGAAGTCGCCCCAAACATCAGCTGGACGCCCGAAAAATTTCCTACCCAGCTTTCCCCATCCGTTACGCATACTCATTGCTTTCAGGCGTGTTAAATCACGCAATATTTTTTGAAGCTACTAGAGCTTCGTTTCTTTGTTTTCTGTTAGGTTTGCTTTTGTGCCCCAAAGTTACATCGTCCCAAGGGGGAACTTCCACAGTTCAAAGCGTCGAAAAAAGAAGTTCTCGCTTTACTTAAGTAAGGCTATTGTTAGCACTGTATACAGGTGAAGGAAAAGTATTCCCGGAGAAATTCTTAGATACGGGCGTTTCAATGGGAACTGAGATTGAACTCTCTCGATGCGAAAGAGTTAAGCAGATAGCGTTCCGTGTTTTTCCGTAAAATAATTTTCATACATTTATAGTAAATTGACATACACCTTAAGACAAAATAACAACCTTTTTTAAAGATGTTTTTATCAACTTGTCTGAATTCTCTTATCTCTTGAGAGTATAAGAATTTCAGCAAATAAAACTGGCCGAAATTTTATAAATTTAACTGATGTGTTTGATTCAATTTAGAAGTAACGTGAGCTTTACTGATATTTAAATATTTTTGGCAGATCTCATCCTAAAGAGAATGTAAAGATAATTGATTTTATTTAATTTACAATCAATGAAATCATTGAAAGCAATCACTGAATGAATGAAAATCAGAAAAACTATTATGCATACAATTGTCTCTTATTTATCTCCTGATAAATCAGACAAAATTGCCTGCATAATAGAAGCACTTTGAAAGAGTTACAGTTCTTAAAGGTTTTATGCACTCCACAAAAAATGTCAAAATAAAAATCTATTATTCATAAATACTAAAAGGATTTAAACGATAAAAGCGGTTTTACCTATTTTCTAGAAGGGCTTTAAATCTAAAATATTAATCTATTCTTATTTGTTATGATTAAAAAACATTAAATATGGTGAGCTTAAAGAGCGTGCAAAATCGCTGACGTTTTAATCATAGCAAAAGTCAGTACTAAAAAAATTAGCATTAAAATTATGAGACAGATTGAGAAAGAGATGGCCTCTATTTAATTTTCAAGTATATTGGCACTAGACGAAACCTGCGGTTTTTGCCAAAATGTAGCCAAACTGATAAGAAGAGGGAAATAATGCGTAGCCAGCGGCTACTCTGAGCAGCGACAATGGACCACCCAAAGATCTACAGATAGGCGATTCTCTAACATGGGGAGGGCATGGATGGTATGACAGTTGTACCAATGCCAGCGTCTGAGAAAGTCATTCTCCTGGTACAACTGCTGTAACAGCCGGCTTCGAGAGGTTAAACTGATGCTATAAAATCTGGAAAATTCCTAAATGCAGAATTGCTGAAGTACCAATGAGGTTTTATTCTGTATATATACTTAATTTTTAAACTAATTAGGATAAAAAATAATAAATTATGTTGTTATCTTGAATTAGCAAGATGAAATTCACCATGCACAGACTAAAATGGTTGAAAAAATATTAAATTACGGAATACATTTTGTTAAATTAATGAAAAATGTTTGAAAATATATATCTTAGTTATTTAAAAAAATGGAACCTATTTTGGTTTACTTTGTGGTACGTACAATAGTTTGCCTGAAATTTCCAAATTAATCATGATCATCTTCAGACTTCCAGCTAACTTGTACTGCAATAAAAACCTTCACCAAAATTTCACTTGTTACCATATTCTATGAAGATCAGCCTTATTTTTTTAATCAAAATGATAGAAATAAAAATTCCTGATTTATGTAAAACAACTCAATATTTTCAGAGAATAGTGTACATTTTTTCCCTTTTCAAATACACGAGATATGGAATGTTTTCATGTTAGTCTTAATGCATATTCATCTAGTGTCCTATAAAATGTTTCACTATTCCACCTGGGCCATCTTTAATGATAAATAATATAAGACATTAAAACAGCCCTTTAGAAAACCACCAAAATCTTCCATGTATTATCATACATTTATTGTTTTATCTTCCTATACATTTAAACACATGATGGAATTTATTGGCAATCATTTTTAAAATGTACCACTAAATAGTTAATTATTAAGTAATTAACAAATAGTAATTATGTAAAAATATATTTACTATTACTGAATGCATATCTATTCTTGCTTCTAATATTAAATCATGACAAAAATTTAACTACATTCAAATGATAGCGAAGCAAACATAACTAAATTTGCTTACTTTAAATTGCTAGAAGAGAGGTACTATATGTACAACACATTTACAATAAAATAATTCACTTGAAATTCAAACGAAACTATGTAATAAAAAAATTGTGTAGTCCTTGAAGAAAATTACTACATCATATTTAAGTGTACTTAACCATAATTCATGAATAAGTAATTATAAATATACTATTAACCAGGCTTATGCTGATTGTGTTTTAGAATTTGAATAAACACGCCCATCCTTTCTAGATATGAAAACACAGATTAAGCAGTTTACACATTACTAGCACTATTGGTGACTGAAATAAGGCATTTTATAATTAAACACAGTAAATAGAAGTTATATAAAAATACAAAATCAGGAATTACCTGGTAAATATTTATTGCGGAACAGATCATTTATTACAGATGTAATCGACAAAAGCAATACATTTTCAGTAGTTTACCAGGCATATAATTCTTATTTTTAAATCATCAGTAGAGTTAGCTGTCGCTGACATCTACATTTTCAGTCTGCAATCCCTTGAACGATGTTACAGGCACGTGGGTTACCAAAGTGTAAAGCTTGTGAATGGAATCCTCATCTTCATTTCTTCGACGAGAAAGCTGGACTCGAACTCTGTAAGGTACATTTCGAATACCTTTGGACCAAATGAACTTGTTTAATCTTGTGTCGACCCGTACATCTGGGGTTCCCATTTGCTTTTCGGCAAACTTGCGAATTTCTTTGATAGCTCGCGGAGCTCTTTTCTTGAATCCTACGCCATGAAGTCGTTTATGAAGATGAATGGTATATTCTCTAGTTACTACTTCACTCAGAGCAGATTTACCTTTTTTTTCACTTTTTGCCTTTGCCATTGCAAGACTAAGAGCGTTTTACCACCACACACGCTTCGCAGCAATACGTAACCATAAAATGGCGACGATCCTAAGAAATTTAGAGTTGAAGCACTCATATTCTGTTCCTATTAAAATGAATTCCCTCTGAGAAACATTTGAACTTTCCAAGATTAATTCTTAGCATAAAAATTTGTTTTAAATATTTTATTAAAGAAATTAAAAAGTAGTTACACAATAAATTTATATTCTAAATAAAATTATTTATTATATAAAAAAATATTATTCTTTTCAACCAATAATAAAAAAGAATATTTTATGATAAAAAATTTAATAATACGAAAATATTTTTATCTATTCTACCACTGCTGTCATAAATTATTTCTTGCGACATTAATAGACAGGTGGCAATGTTTCACAACTTCCGTTTCAAGGGTAATGAATAATTAAAGTCCAAGAGGTGTGGTTGTTATTGAAATAAAACCGTATACTACAGGTAAATCTGTACGTATTTTTATTTCTTTATTAAAGCTCTATAATAAAATTTGATTTTCCACTACTTTAACCACTATAGATTCATTACTTCATGTTTCAAGTAAATAAAGAAACAATAAAACAGAAGAAAATAAAAAGATTTTTAACTGACTACGCGTTTGGGTCTGGATCTTTATTTTTGGGATTGTGTTGTCACAAATAGAACTAGAGTAAGGACGAATATCTCTTTCGGCCCCAAGTTTTTTTTTGCCCTTCTAAGCTTCATATGATTGCGCTTCGTGTGACCTACTGAAAGGTGTTTTTATAAAACTGCAGAAAACTGTGATGAAGACTCGTTATTTTTTGCTATGGTAATCGAAGTTTCGAAAGAACTAGATGTAGTACGAATTGGTATCGACAGATATTCTTTAAAAACAGGTTTAAAATTTAAAGTAAGTAATGTGAAAAAACTTCAGATTATAACCGGTAATTATAAATTTGTGACAGGTTTTTCAATTACGGTAAATAAATTTCTGTCTAATGCATAATTTATATTTTATAATTACAGTTTTATCGGCTGAAGACAGAAACCTGTGTGGGAAATATTTTTGAATGCAAATTTCAAAATTGACTTAATGTGCTTTTTTTTTTTTTTTTTTTTTTTTTTTGTAGCCTTTCTTTAAAAAATAGAAGTTGATGAATTTTGTATTTAAAAAGAATCCATGTTAATTTTATATTTTAAATTGTATCCAGAATTTATGTTTTACAATTACAACTTTAAATATATCTGCTGGAGGGGTGAAAAAAAACCATGTGAAATATATTTAGTGGATGTTTTCTGTTTTAATGTAGTTAACTGGACTCATTTGTATTTTTATTAAAAAAATAGAAGTTGATGAAAATTTCGGGTTTAAAAAGAAATACTAAAAATGAATTCGTTTTATTTTGTATTTTAATTTTCCCCCCTTTATTTTCAATACTATGAGATCAATGGCATTTTTTTCTGTCATTTTAACTAGATATGATTAGTAAAATATTCTCTTAAGGAAAATTGTGAAAGGCATTTAATCTAATTGTCTGTACTTATTTAGAATATTTTTAGTTAGTATTAAGTTTTGTTGTATTGCAGCAAAGTCTGCTGAGCAAATAACTTCAGCATCATATCATTGTATTGGTAAAAAATATTGCAAAGCTATTAAATTTATGCAGAAAAGTGTAAGGATGCATTTTCTACAAAATTTTAAATGTAATAATACAGTTTTCTGTTTTGGCTCTAGTGTAGAATTGGGTGCCCTTTCGATTAACGACAAATTTTTAAAAAATTTTAACGATGAAACCTCATTTCTGGTTACCATGATAGTTTTCATTTTGTTTTAGCTTCCTGATTTTTTTAAAATGAAAATAGATTGATGTGTACAGGACAAATTTAAGCAGTGTGCAATGCCAGTTTGGCAATTCTGGATGTTTATAAGTGAAAAAAGATCGATGTAATGGACACTGAGTTTGGCATTCTTACTTCTTATTTTGTGTAGCATCCATCTTGAAATTGTGCCTTCCTGGCGCCGATCTTGGCGTGAAAAAAGAATTGGCGGTAAACAAGGGGCACCCAATTGTAAATTTTTACCAGTTTTTCTTTCAAATTTAATTCAGTAGAGGCTGTAAAATAAATGTTACAAAATTTAAATTATTTATTAACAAAATTTTACTAGCACTGGTGAATTAGAAAACAATTGTGACGATACGAGATCATACGTTTGAAAATTTTCATTTCTATTTGTTTTTAAACTATTTCAGATCATATGTAAGATACTTCAGATGTTTTAGATTAAATAAATGAAATTATATATGTTTTAAATGTAATACTTCAGATGTTTTAGATTAAATAGATGAAATCATATATGTCTTAAATGTATGCATTTGATTTCAATTATTTAAAACTGATGAAATCTTAAATTTATTTATTTAATATTTTTATTATTAAATTTCAGACAGTCATGGATGTCAATATTCGGGTGCTAAAAGAACCGAGAGGGTTCATAAGGATCATTCAGTGCGTATGTATACTTTCCAGTATTTGTCAAAAATGTAGAAACATTAGGTATTTTAAAGCAGAAAAAATAACTTATGCCGTCGTTAAAGTTTTAACTCTGCACCCTCCGATGTTGGCTGGACATGCTTTCCATTATACCATGAAAGATTACTGTAAGGAGGGTGAATCTTACATTCCATCTCACTTAAAAGAGTGATTGAGAAAGCCAGGTTTTTTAGTTTGGGCATCACTTGTAAAATCATTAGGTATTTTGATGCAGAAAAAATCAGCCATGCCCTTGCCAGTATTCCAGTTCTGGACTTTCCATTGTTAGCTGGACATGCTTTCCAATTATAATATGAAGACACATGATAAAGAAGGAGAGGAACCATACAAACAAAATTTTTTTAAAAATGTTATCTAAATGCACATTACTAAAATTAAAAGCCAAATATCAAGCATATTTTAAAGCTAAGTTACTTTTATGCAGATTTTGCTATTGATTTTTGTTGGTACATATGTAAGTGTATAGTGTTTTCTTTGGAAAAGAGGTAGCTAGAGGCCAAATTGAAGCAAATTCATATTTGATTACTTATGGGCAGGCTTGGGAAAAAAAAAAAAAAAAAAAAAAAAAAATATGAAACAATGTATAGTATCTATTAAGCTGTTTTTTAAAGAGTTCTTTTATATATAATATAATATCCTAAAGTTTCCTTAAATACCTTGTGAAAGGGGGAAAAATTGTAATAGATTTGTTATTTTTTTTTAGCATGGTTCTTGTTTATAAAAACATTTACGTTTGAAGTTTTTAAGAAAATATATGAATCGAAAAAACAGGTAAATTAGTGTCATGGAAATTATACATTCAGACTGTTTAAACCTACAAAAATTCTAAATAACACTTAAAAACTAATTCAGAAGTAAAAAAAACAACAAAAAAATCAGCGTTATAACAAAACACAGAATAGTTTTACTTTCGAGAAACAAAAGAGAATTCAAGTCTCAATTCTGAACCATCCAAATAGATTCATTTTCAAAGACTTATTTAAATATTTTTTTACTTCAAACAGGGTAAAAGTTGTTAACGGGAGCGCAAGTAAAAGTTGAAACAATATATTTAAGCATGTAGATTCGCAGGCTGAGCAAGGCGTATATATACGCCCGCGGCAGTTAAGGGGTTAATACAGATTCTGCCACTTATTTAACTAATTGGTTAATAAAAGTCAGCTGCTTATTGAGTTTAGATTTCCAGGAACCGAAACAAATACATACTAATCAATAGGAAAACTTTCGTTTATTAAACTTATATCCCTCGCTCATAAATTCGGATTAGTAAAAACTGATTCGTCAATGCCATAATATTCTGCTTATCAAAGATGACTGTTGTTTATCCTTAACTTATTCTATCTTATAGTGCACGTGATTTATTTATTATTCAATTATTTAGCACTTCAATAAAGCGTGTTTTAGTGATATTTTACTACCTACCTCGTCCTTGTGCCTGTAAAGCACTATCTTTAGAGCTCTTTATCGCGACTGAAGTTGAGATCTGCAGAATTTCTTTAACTTGAAATTAAATTTAAGAAAATCCTCTACTGGTCGTAAATAAGTGAGCGCTCTTTCTGAAATACCAGCTAAGAGGAGGTGGAAGTGCAATGTTTGCTTTCAAACATTTAAGGTTTCCGTAGTTAGGTTTTCGGGATTATTCGGGGATTGGATTGTATGGTTCTTCGTTTAAGAGTTTAGTGACACCATTCATGTAAGTGTTTATGTCCATGACTACTATCTGGCCACCTTGGTTGGACTTTGAAATAATAATGACCAGGTTAGAATGAACTTCGCGCGTTGTAGATTTTTCTCTCGCGTTTAGCTTTGGTTTCAAAGGCGTATTGTTGAATTTCACTGTATGGGCGATAAGATGCCTAATCATTTCTTTCTGTGAATCTAAAACTTTACTGAATTTGAAAACGTTTTCGATAGGAGACAAAATCTTTGGAATCCAGGGTTATGAGAAGTTAAAATTATATTTCAGAATTATCTCTAAGCCTTCTGAAAAACTAATGCTAGACATATTAACTTTTGGCTTAATATTTACAATGGGAAGATTTTTTGAAATTATTAAATTGGAAGACTGTAAAAGTAGGTTTTGGAATTAAAATGCAAGGGTATTTCTAGTACAGTTAGGCACATTCTCACTTCTAGACCAAGACTTTTGTTCAATGGCAGTGAAATTTGGATATGAATTTATATAATATTGTAAATATTAATGACTGACATTGTTTGAAGTTTCAGATTCACAAAAAGAAATCATTAGACATCTTATTGCCCTTCTCCTCTAGAGACATCAAATGGCATACTCTTGTTTTAGGACATTATAAGAGTTCTGTTGTTATTCTTTTCTTTCCATCAATTAGCTATAAAATTGCATGTATTTTACAGAAATTTAACTTTCAAAGCTTATATTCTTCTATCAATAAAATTCCGAGTTCCATACTTAAGGGCCTCATTCCGGATGGGAATTCCTGGGGTATTTACAGGATTCCTCGCCAATGTGCTTTAATTTACATTGATCAAACTAAGAGAGCCTT